AGGGCGGCGGGAGCCTGCTGTGGCTGAAAAGTCTCAAAATGTGTTTAAAGGGGAGAGCCTTTTTTTTTAGGTTGGTTTTTTTTTTTTTTGCTCGACCAAAAATTACCAGGTGTCCAGTATTTTTTTGGGAGGCCATCTGGCAACCCTAGTGCTAAAGGAAGACAATGCTTTTCTACTCTACTGTACCTTTTCTTGGCCACTTCTCTCTACAGAGAGGCCTTTGTGAAGATCAGCAGTCTTCCTGTTCATGTTTCATTGTCTCATTTTCAGAAGGAGGAGGATTGTAACTAGGTAAAACAAGTACCATCTAGTATTTCCCTAATCTTTCTTGTACCTCTAAGGGAGTGCATACTAAAAGAAAGATCATTCTTGACCCAGGCTTGGCTTCCCATATAATGGTAGCTTCCTTCAGAGGAGGTTGATTGGTAAATTATTTTGCTTTCCGCTATCTGAGGGTGCTGGATTTGATACGATCCACAGAGGTGCAGTTTTGCTGAGGTGTCTTCTAGCAAGTGAGCTGCAACATCAAGAGTAGCTGTTTTGCTTCCTTGGTTTAAGGAGTTGCTATATAGTAATGAAATAAGAATACAGTCACAACGGTTTCCTTTTCTCCTTGAGTCCCAGTGCATGACAAGTATGAACCTGAAATATAACCAGTAACTTAGAGAGAATAACTGATATGGGGGAAATCTTGGTTATTTTCAGGTAGGATTGTTTTACTTTAAAAAGTTTCCCTTCTTGTAAGGGAAACTGGGGACACTGTGGCTTGTGTATGGGACTAGAAACCAGGAGATGTGGTATCTGCTTCCAGCTCTGCACAAAATTCTTGTGACCTTGGGCAGCGCTCATGGTATGTTCGGTTTAAATTGTTAATGTTCTCTCCATGCTCTCTGAGATCTTTGGTTGGAAGAGGACTGCCAAGTATTGTTATGAAGTCACTGATCCTGTAAATGTATTAGTGTCTTTTTCTGGAAGGAAAAGAAAGCCAGGCTTGCTTCCAACCTCTGTAATCTCAAAAGTGGCAGTGTTTTGCTTTGATTCTGCAGAACTGAATTAAATGAACCAAATATACATGTGAACAGAAAACACCAGGCATGCACATGCTAAATAGGAAGTGACTGGGCAGAACCTAACAGATTGCATTAGCTCTGTAGCTACTTTTGACTAAAGGTGACCTGATTTAAGCTTTTTTTTTTTTTTTAAGTTTTGAATTTTATCTGTGACACCCTGTGAGCAAAGCAGTTGTGAGCAGAACAGGGCAGTCACTGAAATAAACACCGTTCTGTGCAGGAAATCAGCAAGAAAAGCAAGACTTCACCCCCTTTCCCAGAAAAAGCCCCAACATGCTCAATAAATGTTAAGGTAATTTAAAATCTGGATCTGGGAGACAATGTGACTAGGATTTCATTACTTCAGCAAATGGATTTGCTTTTAGTGGATGCAGCCACAGACTGAGAAGCTTTCCCAAGGGGTAAACGTTTTCCTGTGTTTGAAAAGCTTTCTTGTGTGTTAAGGAAGGGGGAGGGAGCATGAATGTTGCTCCATATGCTCTTAGGACTCTGGAGCATCTTTATTTAGGACTGATATGGGCACCCCCCCACCCCCCGCTCCTTTACCTCCCCCCACCCCCCGGTATATTACCCTTTTAGATGCTTGTTATAGGGAGAGTCTTGTTTAGCTTTTTAAACCTCTCCTCTATTGTCGTGGGATGGACAGACTCGAGCCAGAGTGAAGGAATGAGAAGCTGCCTTGGCGGGATGGGTAGTTTTTTTTTTCTGGAGCAGATGTGCTTCCTTTGACTAATTTCTTCCTCACACTGGAGGAGTTAAACAGCAGCCGTGCCAGCTCTGCAGACTGTTTGGAATAGTTTAAATGCTTTGACACTCTGGATGTACTAGATGGCAGAGGAGGCAGTTTACAGCGTAATTCATATGCAAAACTGCACTATAAATTTAAAACCTGTCTCAGTTGCCGTGGCACCACTAAGCATTTCATCAGCATACAGTACAGTATTTCTGCCATCTTTGTTTGCATTGCAGTGACTCATCAAAAGTCTGTCTTGTACCAACACTGAGAGCATTCCTCTGGCAGTGATATTCCTCTGTTTTTAAAGCTTCGGTTTGAAACTGGCATTTACTTCAGGTCCCTAATCAAAGGGCTCTATTCATTGCAGAGAGCAGCCTGAATGTTAATCTGCATCCGGCCTATTCATTTAGATGCTATGCACTGCCGTGGAGATTTGACTTGGTAAAAGCTTGAGCTACAGCAGATACAAACGGAGGTTTTGATACTATTTTTCCCCCCCGAACTATCTTCGTTGCTGCAGTTAGTGTAGCAGACCGGGGGCGATTAAAAAAAAAGGGGGGGACTTAGGAAGAGCCTTCACTGAGTGGCAGTACCTTGGATCATTCGTTGTTTAAGGTATGTTCGCGTGGTATCAGATGAGGGGGCGTAGAAGTTCCTTGCTTTGAAGAATTCTCTTTTAGACCATGCAGTTACAATTAATTTGGCTTTGAGCGTGTTCTCTTTTCTTCCTGTTTCTCAATGGCTTTGCAGATAGTACTTTTTTGCAGCAGTGTGAATAGAGTTCTTTGTGGGGTATTTTTCTTTTCAGAGGAGATTTAAAAAAAAAATTATCAGGTAAACTGCTTTGTATGCCATTATCGTGAAGATTTGGTGCTAGTTAAACACAGTTTCCTCAGTATCATCAAGTGCAAACATAATTTTAGATCATCTGTTCTCTAAAGGGGATTTTTTTGTGTGAAGGTGCGCAGAGGATTCTTGGGGTGTTATAAGCACTGATTGGCTTTTGTGGAATTTTATGCACTAAAATTAAGTTATTTAATCCTACTGCTCCTATAGGGCTTGTTTCAGAGCCTGCCTCTTTCTGTATAGGAAAGAAGAAATGTTTCTCATCCCAAAAAAGTGACAGTATCCTGAAACGGCACACTCTGCTGCAATTTGATGTGAAGTCGAAAACCCGATAGGCTGAGAATAGGTTTTTTTACTTGAGATTGTTCAGAGACATTCTTGATAGTACTGTTTCTGATTTCAGAGGATGGGCTGTGTCTGTTGCGGGGTGTGTGTCTTGCATTAGATTATACTTGTACTATGTCACCTACAGAATCCCATTTTAACATGGCCAGGAACAGAACATAGGGCACTTGCCTTAGAGGAATGTATGTGAAGACTTTGCTGCCCTAGTCTGTATTTAAAGGGGGGGGGAGACTTGATGTTAAGTTTACTGCTGTACATTTAATTTGTTTGCTTGGGCTCAATTACCTAGCTTAATGTTGATATCCTTTAAATGAAACAGGGCTTTTAATTTCAGTTAAAAGTAATATAACTCTGAATATTTTCTTTTAAAAAAAACAAGTGAAGAGGCACCATCTCGGATCGTTAAAATGTGTTTTTATTACAGTGACTGCTTAGAATGTTTATTTCAGACAAAATGACACATTGTTTTGTAACTATTTCATCTCTAGTTTCAGCAGGTTCTTTTATCCATTTCCAAAGTCTGTTGAATATTAATAGGGCTACCTTACTATTCATTCATACTCTGTTACCATCCATATTATACTGTTGACTTGAAACGCCAAAGGAAAGAAACCGAAGATAATTTTTAAAAAGCCACCTTTGAGAGCATTTGAATATTTAAAAACATTTTTTTAAAAAGTTTGTTTAAAAACAGCTGTAAGTAGTTTTATAAATGGAGTTGGTGTTACACATCAGCCCTTAGGACTTCGTTTTGAATCTCCAAATGTGCTAAGATATTTTGGTTTTGGTTTTATTTGTTTGTTCCAAAGAACTGTCTAAAAATGTGTTTGGTTTTTTTTTCTCCCTGCCTTCTTCATTTTTCAGATGTGCCCTACTTTGGATACTCCTGCATTGCATGTCTAAGGAGCTCCAACTCATCCTGAGCCATGTCACAGATGTTGCACATAGAAATTCCCAATTTTGGGAACACTGTCTTGGGCTGCCTGAATGAGCAGAGGCTACTTGGGCTTTATTGCGATGTCTCCATAGTTGTCAAAGGCCAAGCCTTCAAGGCGCACCGAGCAGTGTTAGCAGCCAGCAGTCTGTATTTCAGAGACCTGTTTAGTGGGAACAGCAAAAGTGCATTTGAGCTCCCGGGTACTGTGCCGCCAGCCTGCTTCCAGCAAATCCTTTCATTTTGTTACACTGGGAAGCTCACGATGGCCGCGAGCGAACAGCTGGTAGTGATGTACACTGCAGGTTTCCTACAGATCCAACATATCGTAGAAAAAGGGACCGATTTGATGTTCAAAGTGAGCTCTCCCCACTGTGACTCTCAGACCACCATGATAGAAGACCCTAGTTCAGAACCGCAGAGTCCTTGTAACCAATTGCAATCTGCTTCTGCGCCCTACGTCATGTCCCCTTCCATGCCCATCCCGCTCCTCACCCGGGTGAAACACGAAAATCTCGAGCTGCAACCCACAGCTGTGTCAGGCCTTCCTGCCAAGCGACCCTTGGAGGCCAGCACCCGAGAGAGCACGGGAGGGAGCGTTTCTAATGCTGCTCCATTAAAGTTATCTCGGGTGTCCTACTACGGAGTGCCCAGTTTAGCGACTCTCATCCCAAACATCCAGCAAGTGCAGTACTCCCAAGGGGAGCGGACGAGCCCCGGAGCCAGCAGCATTCCAACTACTGACAGTCCCACATCCTACCACAATGAGGAGGATGAGGAAGATGATGAGGCATATGATACCATGGTAGAAGAACAGTATGGGCAGATGTACATCAAATCCTCAGGAGGATATTCAGGTAATAAACCAAAACGCTCCCTTTCCCTAATCCCTTTTGTTTTTCTCTTCCTCTTCCGTCGCCACTGGGTCCTTTTCTCCCTTGTCCAGCGTATGCTTTTTGGACTGTTCATCATTTTTACTAAATATTGGGTCTGAGTTTAATGCTGTTGAAAACTCCTAGCCTGCCCACCCAGGACACTTGAGTTCTCTATCCACAGATCAGAGACAGCACAGGAGGAGAACAGTACAAACTTCTCCAACCCCACTCACTACTGTGCCTGCTCTTAGAACTGGACAGTGTAGTTCAGTGACCATAATCTCTTTAAACCGTAGCCTCCTGTTGGCAGTCTCAATCACAGACTCCATTGGTTGGGGGCTTTTGCAAAGTGGGCAGCTATCCATTAGCTGCTGAACTGAGATGGCTAACTAATTTCACAGACAGTAAGTAGGTCATCCAAAAGCCACCTCGGCCACCACCCTTCCCAGTTTGGATTAGGACAGGCAGTCTAAAGGTGAAAACCTTCATATCCATTTGCAGGTCATCTCCTCCATTTATTTCCCCATTCCTGCTTCCTCCTTTTTTTTTTTTTTAAAACAAAAATCAATTAAAGTTTGTATCCTGCTCTCTCCATCCAAAATCCTCAAATACGTCAGATCTCTGGTAGAAACAATCAAGCAACCCTTTCTCCCCCAACCTCATCTATATCCCTGCCAAGGTAAGAGTTCCTTTTCCCCCTTCAGAACTAATTGATAGAACTAGTTAAAAGTCTTCATTAACCTAGCTCTTTACCTGGCAGTACTGAACTGTGCCAGCATTAGCTAAAGGAGACGATTGTCTTAGCAATGAATAGCTAGAGAAGAAAGGAACTTACTGGGTTCTCTTCCCAGGGGCACACAGGTGTTTTGGTTTTGCAGTCTCTGAAGGGACTTTCTCTTTTCTGCTTTCCTCCCAAGTCAATCGTGTTGGCCTTGTTCATCTTCAAGATTTTGAGCTGACACCTGGAAATGTCTCTGGTACCTGGTTTTTGTTTCAGGTTTATTGGAGGATAGAGGCAATGTAGTATCACAAACATGAGGAATCTTATCTCAACAGCTAGCATATCTGAGAAGCATTTGAACAGAACATGTATTGGGAGATATATGTTCCTTTTGCATTCCCAAAAAAAAAAAAAAGGCTCCGGGATGAACACAGTAGACTCTTAATTGGTGCTGCAGGTGTTTGAGAATGCAGCTTTGATTTGTATTCAGTTCCTGGGTGGAAACATATTTCATGGTTTTCTTGAGATTTGTCAAGCCTGGCAAAGCAGAATTTTCTTTAGTTTGTGCTTAGTTTTCACTGTTACTATTTCCTGTTGTAATTGCTGGATCAGAAATGACTAATTTGAAAATATTAACTCTCTCACATATGCTGAAAAGTTGGCTTCCTTTCCTTGGAACCCTTTTATTTTTAGAGATGGGTAGAAAATGCTATATTAACAACCTCTGTTTGATCCAGTTATGCGTTCATGGTGGTGGTAATTCTCAGCACCAACACACTCCCATGAGTGATTTTCCAACCGTCTCCATGAAAGCAGAACCCCAAACTTCTCTCTGAACAGTAATGCCCTTGCTGTACAACTCTGTAAGTGGATAGATGAGAAGAAATAATTGCCATGTGTTTTACTGGGGGGGAAGGAAAACTATATCTTGTTTGGCCTTTCTAGTCTCTCAGCAAATACTTCTACTGGCAGTTTTGTTGTTGTTTTTATTTTGAATATTAGAACAGTTGCTGACAAGCCAGTTTGCTTTTTCAGTTGCCGTTTCTGGGGAACGATTCCAAACTCCTACTACAGACAGTCATTTTCAGAAAGGCATAAGCGAATGTGTTCTAGGGAACGGTGTGTGCGCTATATATTTACCATAAAGTTCTCAGCTGGCTAGCTAGTTGGTGGGATCAAGTGTGATGAATAGGAATGTTTTAAGATTTCCATCTAACTGGGCAGAGCTGAGGCTGTTTGCATGGATGCTTGTTGCGCACACACACCCACACCTACACCCACAGAGAGTGCACAGCACTATGACTGAGTAGCATTTGTCTTCACAGTATTGAGCATTTCTAACATTGCTCTTTAGAGAAACAGGATCATACCCTCTATACAAAATTTTCTTTCTCTGCCCTGGGGGCAATTTATATAGTAGCAGAACAGAACTAATTCAATCTAAAACCATCAAAGATTATCACAGAATAAACTACAGGATGGAACAATATGTGACTATTAAGCAAGCAGGCTATTGCATATAATTCTTATTGCTTAACATTAAAACAGAGCTGTTCCATTCAGAAAATAGAAAACTTGGGCAGCTTTGGTTGGCTTGAACAGCTTGGTGGCTTTGGTAATTTTTCAGTTGTCTAGCCTTTAGGTTGGATCTGATGATCCAGAAGAGGAGCAATATTTTCTTTCTCCCTATGCAAATAGTGAGTAGGCTTCTGAACTGCCCGGTGAGGCAGAGCCGAGCCGGGGTTAGTTGTTTGGGGAGGTGATGGGAAGTAGTTGGGAATTCACACCCAAATAGGAGCTTGCATGTCACCATTCTAGCCAACTTGGAAGGGCCAGTCAACACCCCTCTCCCCCAGGGTGATAATCTAGATAAAACATATCTCCTATCCAAGCACATTGAAAAGGGTTTTCTGTTTTAACTACAGCCATAGACGCAGGCTTCCCCAAAATCTGGGGATGAGATTTCATTTGAAAAAGCAAATGAAGATTGTGGTTAGTCCATCCAAGTATGGGCTTGTGTAACGCTCACAGGGTTTTAATCACTCTGAATAAAAGCTTCCTTCCTTCAAAAGAGCCAGAACAAAAAAACCTACAACATGGAAGAGCGAGAAAAAGCTAATCCTGCTCCCTGCGCATTGATCTTGACAATTGTACAAAAGATAGGGGGAAACTATTTAAAATAGTGATTAGCAAAGTTTCTTAGAGCCTTTTGAGTACAAACAAAACAAAGCCACAAAAAGAGCACACTGCCCGATCATGCATTGAATCTCATGGGAAGCTTTTTTCCTTTTTTTTTTCTTCTTGCACAGCATAGTGTCGTTCAGAATAGTGCTTGGTCTCCATTGTGAGGGATGTTTGTCTGGTTCATTGTTAGGGCGACATTTGAAGCTGAAACTCAAGTTTTTGGTCAGTGTCATTGTCTTCCATCTCCGTGTTAGGGACTGATTCTGCAAGGTGCTGAATGCCAGTGATGAAGGCTCTTTGCATGGCCCAGCCCATCGGTCATTAGGTCAGTTCTGAAAGCAGCTGGGTGTTGTAGATTCTTGTGTATTTTTGTTTTCCCCTTTATACAATCCTTTCTAGAAAACCAGACTGAATCTCTGAAATGAGGCACAAACCAAAGAGAGAACATGCAAATTCATGACCTTGGCAAAGGGCTTTGATGGTAGAAAGTCAGAGTAGCGCTTAAGCGTCATTAAATAGCAGACTTAGAAGCTAGTAGAATGGGGGGGTGAACCATGAGGAATGCTGAAGTGCAAAAGAAACTGAAAATAAATCCTGGGGAAGGCCAACTCCCCTTCTAAAAACCATTCCAGGGGTAAGAATTAAGTTTAGCTGTTGTGAAAGAAGTCTCTGATTTTCAGAGGAGAACACAGGCGTTGCTATTCTGCAATAGAACAGACTTCAGAAATGAGCCATTCCTCCCATTGCATTCAGTATAGAGACTGAGTATATTAGACGTGTGTGTGTTTGGCTTTGGATATTATTATATTATTCTTATTGGGATTTGCATAATTTTTGTGTGCGCATTAATAGCATTTCCATAAGATGGCTCTTTATTCTTTAAAAAGGTCTAGGCTTGGAGAACGTTTAGGCCTCAAAGAATCTAGTTAGTCTTCATAAGTGCTCTAGCATTTGAGTTGAGACAAATGCAGCTAGTCAGATATGTATTAAACAAAAGCAAAGTACTTACAGCTTTCATTGTAGCATGGGGGACCTGATCCCAAAAGGATTTCAATGGATGCGCATTATCTTTCAATATCAATCCATGTTATTTTCAGTCACCTTACTATTCAGCTGATGTATTTAATTGTCTTCAGTTTCAAAAGGCACAAGGGAATTTGCACAAAGTGTCTTTAAATCCTCACACAAGAAATTGTTACAAGCTGGAACTGAAAGTTATGAAATGCCAAACTGACACAAGCACATTACGTTAAAAATTCATCTAAAATAGCTGTGTTAGAATACAATTTCCGTAATTAGCTAAAAGAATAATTTTCTCTCCTGGCCCTCTGATTTCTTGAACATATGTAAAGAGGGCAAGAAAGAAGCCAAAATCTTTACTTGAAAGGATACATAGTATGCAGTATGAAGATGGTCCGAGACCAAGCTTAGAAAAGAAATGTGACAATTTAAACCACAGACGGCAGCAATGTTTCTGTGAACATCTTGAAACCAGATAATTGCAATCTCTATAAAACTGTTTGTTTAACTGCAGTGGTGGTTCTTTGAGTCAGTTGCCTCTGATACAGATCAGTGAGTAGTTTGACCCTTAGGATCAGCAGGAGGCAGTCAATAGAAGCTAAGAATTAATATATTTTCCAGAAAATATAAAGTAACATCAAACTGGGCACAAACATTGAGGAAATGGAGAAAAATGGGTCTCCTGTATGAATAGGTGTCATACTCATCAGATAGAGGTGATCTAATCTGCAGCTAGTGAAACGCCTCAAATGGTGCTGAAGGAGAATGGGGGAAGTTGTAATGCCAAATAGAGAGTGAAGAAAATCTTTGACTTTGTTGGCTGCCTCCTGTCTAACCAGTGTGAATTGTTCTGAACTTGTATCTACCAAATCACAGAAAACAACTTGTGGGTAACACATTCTCCCTCTTATTAAGGGACTCAACAGCCTGTGGAAACGTAAGGTCCACATGGGTGTCATTCTGCATCAAACCTTTTTTGGCATTAAATGTCTAGTTTCTGTTTCTTCACTGTAAAACACAGATGTTTAATTTTAGACTGGCAGATGTTTCACTCCTG